CTTCCAGCGATCCATTCGGCAAGTCGATGGCCGCACGAATTGCTACTCACGTCATGCCAGCTGGGATGTCTTGCATTCAGATCATCAATCAATATCAAACTGCGATTGTACCAGTGCAATCGATGGAGAACATCAATCGGAACTTCTTCCGAGGATGGAGAATAGACTACAGCCACCGTGTATTTTTTATTCGTGTTGAATACATGAACAGTCATGAGGTTATTGATATCATGGAACTCGGAAACGATTCGATGAGGAACTTCTCGAGCGATTGCAAGACAGACGCCACCAAAGCTATTTGAACCCGGTTGATAGTAGATGATGTATTGAGACTTGAAGTGAGAAGTGAGTTGATAGTTGATGTCATCGTTGAAGTGAAGACACGTGAGCGCCCAGTTGTTTGGATAGGAGGCAGAAATGTAGCTGATAAGATAATCGAGATGCATTCGTAGACTGCTGATGTTGTAGAGCAGGAGAGAGAAACCATTTCGCGCAATGCTCTGATTTTCATGCTTGATCGACCATTCGCGAGTAAGACTGGACAGCGTAGTTGACGTATGCCATTCGTGAAGGATTAATTTCGTAGTTGCAAGTTGATGATCAGTCTTCAGCCATTCAACAGGTGTTGATGGTATCTCAGTTTCATCGGAAAGGAAGAACTCAGATGCATCTAAATTCATTGAGAAGAAAAGGAAGAAGCGAAGGAGAGTTTGGTGCTTTGGAAGCAGTTGGTGGATGACGAAGATGATGAATGATTGTTTGTTGCTAATCAGTTAATTTTATGACTTTCGCCGTAGTCAATTGCTCGCGAGCATCCACCAACAACTTTGACATGGCGTACATGTAGGGAACGATCTGAGTTTCAGTTGGCCATCGTAATGCAGCTTACTGTTCATGAACTACATTCCACTGCTCTTCGAGTTGCGTGATTCGTCCGAGGAGAACTTCTTGTGAGCGTCCGATTTCTTCCTTCAGTGTACTGATGATGATTGAGGATTGATCGATTTTTTCTGATGCACGATCTGTGGTTATTTCAAAAACAGACGAATACAGTCGAGCAGGAGAAGAGAGATAGGAGGTTGACGGCTGTTGATTATTTTCACTCCTCTCTTCTTGTGGTTGTCTCTTCTCTCGATGATACGATACCTTCACTGGACATTCCGGGAGCCAGTGCAATTGGCGTGTTTAACAGCGAAAGCACGGATCGATGCGAGCCAGCGGTTTGTAAGCCACGGCTGGATACCGTATGCTGTCGATAGAAATGTGGGAGCATTGAAAAATCTTCTGGACATCTTCATTCGATCGAAAATCAAGACGAATCCGGTTGATCGGTTTTCCATCGCGAAATATTCTTGCCACTTGAACAGTCGACGGATATCGTTGCTCGATCAAAGGTCGTATTGAATCGACATGGCATTCACGAGGAACACGATTGACTAGAATAGAATAAGACGTTGGAATTCGACTAGGGAGAGTGACTTTGAATGGCAATCCACACATCGAACAGCTCTCGAATAAGATTTTATAGGTCGAGGAATCGTTCCCGAAGACCAGGATTACATGTCGCGATTGAGGATGCGTTGAATAAGAAGCTGTGTTCACGTTCAATCGATCGTTGTGTTTCATAAGCTCCTTGAGTACTTGAATTTCCAATGGTTTCTGTTGAGCGTCGAATTCCAATTTGAACGGTGGTAGATTCGCTCTCTTACTTCTTCCTTCCGTATATGCCAATGATCCACCTGGAGCCGATTTCTCAGAGGCATGTTGAGGAAAAGTTGGTTTAGTTCGTCCGTCGTTGTTACCGAAAGAGAAGTATGAATGGACTCAGCTAGTTTTCGAATCTTGTGGGATCGTCTGTCCAAAGAAACTCATGGTTGTCGTTGGTGCATGCGTATTGGTTTTTTGGAACTTGTTCGGTCGTTGGTTAGTATAACCGTTTCCCAGTTGTCATCAGTCTCGCTCGCCTCTCTGTCAGTCTCAGTGGTTTCGTCGATCTTCATTGCAGGATTCTCTCTAGCGTGCTGTCTGATGACATTTTCATCAGCTCGTTTGATGGCCTCGAGGATCATCTTGGGTCTTTTCAATCCAGTTTTTGGATAGGTAGGTCAATGAGAGGAAGTTTCTCTGCTTTATCCATCTCTCGGCGGCCTTCTCTCAGGCAATCGTCGTTTCAGTCAACGAGGAGAGAAATTGATTTGGGAAGAGAAGATTGCATTGAAAAACACAGTCGAAAATGGCGCATAAAAGGAAAAGTGTGACGGCAACCGACTGATCCGACATCTCAACAGACTAAAAGCTTCACTCACAGCTTCTCTCCAATACCGACACATTTTTGATACTCTGATCGATATGCAGTGGAAGTCTTCCGAACTTACCTGATGATGAACCCTTCAGCAATCGTAAGGTGCTTGGATTTGACACTTCCTGTATAAACTCACTGTCACCCTCAGTTGTTAGCACACTTCCGTGTCCCTTTGAAATACATTCATAGAAGATACAAGTATCTTTGTCCCTTTTCTACAACTCGAGTCATCGAGATAGACCTGTCCCTTATGTGAGGAATCTTCCATCCTTCCTATGCCAAGGGTTTAGCGTTTTATCGTTCGGTCCATGCGTTACATGTGGACAGGAGAATAGTCTACGTGCAAGGGAGATCATTACACTCAGGATCAGACAAACAAAAAACACGTATACCATACACATCAGGCTGATTCAATAACTTCAGAAAAAACGCCATCCAAGTCGATGTGATCTAATCGATAATGCTTATCCTATTGTGTTCGAAAAATGGCTGCATTACTTGGGGTTTCTGAATTGAGCGAGAGAGAACGGACACCCCTTCCTTTAGGGAAATATGAAAGACTAGTGCTACCTGATGATCAATGCAACCCATTGAATGGACTAAGTCCAGTTCGAAACGATCGTCGTAAGTAGTTTGAAACAATCTTCGTAGAAGAAACACTCCCACGCTTTCAGCCTTGTCCCCATCGGTTCTCTATAGTCTCGAAAGCTAATTATCTCAGTCAAACTCCATAAAAAGGCTTCGATTGGCAGTTAGGATGAATAGCTTAACACATCATTTTGATTATTTCATCTTTTTCTTTATTTCCAAAAGAATTATTTAACAAGATATAAAAACGAAGTGCTGCAAGATTTTATGTACAACTAATTCTAAATATACTACCACTTTTACAGCTCCCTCCCATTTTTCGACAAGCAGTAGCATTGCAGGACTCACAGTTCGCCATTACCTCTGATGGATTACTATATTCAGACCAGTTCATACATTCACACGCACAGGTAACATTAGTACTATTTGATTGGCGATCATGAACCATCATCACGTTTGCTGTCGTAATCGATAAAAAGATCATCGTAAATAATAAACATGATAACAGATTGCACTTCATTTTGAATTCTTTGCCGTAAATCAAGTAAATTGTTTGAAGAGGTAAAATATTCTGAAAGTGAAGAGAATAATTGTTTTCTTTTGAGTAATTGATTCTTCGATGTGTGAGAATGCGAGCAGAAGGCAATATTAAAACACATAGACAGAGTGTAGCTTTGCTCTCTCTTTTCTTCGAGTGGGCATAGCTTATTCATTGAGTATTCTTTTTTCAGAAGTTAAAAAATAGAGATATATATAACGGAATATCGGTGGTAATTTGATCGTCCACCTTTTTACGCAGTTTTAACCTTCATGAGGTCAAACTCAAAACGACAAACTGTTCAGAAAACGCGTTTAAACACACAGAAAAGGGCCGGAAATCGGCGAAATATGGGCGTTTATCGCTGACAATCACGATCTCCGGCTGGGAGATAAAAACGCCCAATTTTCAGCAATCTTGGGTATTTAGACGCGTTTTCACTCAAAAACTACGGTTAAACACATCAAAAGAGAATGGAAACTCAGACAGTCACAAATCGCCGAAAACGCGTTTAAATGCTGAAAGTAGTCAGATAATGAGCGTCTCAACGCGTGCGCGATCTTTCGGTTGTGTAAACATCAAGAGCTTCCATCTTCTCAGTGTGTACTTAGTTGAAATCTGTGGATCCGATATAAGGTTCAGCTAATGCAAAATTACAGCAAATTTTTTTTTGAACTTTTTTATACAGATTCTGATTCGCCTGATGACGCTGATCACGAATATCACCCTCAAGACGTTCAAGACTCCTGCCTTCATGGAGAAAACCTCAGAATACTGAGAAGGTCTCAAAAACCGAGAAAATCGCTATATAGCACAAAACTGATTTCTTTGAAGTTGTCTCATAAGATAGAGAAACCAAACTAAATTTTTCTGAATCAGCATTAAAAACTGATTTAGAAAATGAGTTTTAGTTCATTTTAGAAATGAAGACTTGACCGTCGCTAGGCGGCCGAGTCGATGGATGTTAGGGCTGAGTGATTCATTTTGTAAATCTATCTAGTTTTTTTTTAGAAAGAGCTATACCATTGATTCACACGTCATTAGAACCGCCAGAGCATAAGCTTCAAAAGTATGAAGAGCTTTTTTCAAAATGTCTTTTTATTGTCGAGAAAATCGACTTTTACTGGAAAATAGAGAAAATGGGGAGGGTACTGATTTTGATTAAGTTTTTCATTTTCAATTCAAATACGATTAAAATAACCTCAGATAGGTTTAAAATGATACAGAATTCAATGGAAACACTTTCGAAATCGTAATAAGATTTCCACAACCTCCTCCCCCCCGATTCAATGGTTTTTTAAGAACTTTCAGGAAACAACCCAACTTTTGGTTGCACAAGCGTGTAAGATTGATATTTATCGTAGTCATGTTGCTCACATACCTTCACGTCGTATCGCTTATTCATATCTTTTTTTTGCGTTCGTATTTCGGTTTCTTTTGTTACTTTTCTGCTTCATAACTGTCTTATGTTATAGTCGGTATTCATTAGTGTTGGAGAGAGAATCGTAAAGAGGAGTCAGACAAAGAGCATCTGGTAATACTATTTACTTTGAAATTTTACTTGCTGTTATTATGCCCAAACCGTCAAGACGTCGTTCTCATTGCAAATCGCTGATTCAAAGACGTTATTCACAGGAAAGTGTAAATACTGAAAGTGATAGTTCTGAGTCAAATGAAGAACTACAAATGCAAGTTGATGCTAGTGAAAATAAAGAACCATTGGATTTTAAAAACAGAGTAAATCGTAACGATATGTCTGATTTATTCGAATTGTGTCAATCGAAATGTCCGAGAAAATATATCAGTGTTCTGTTATATATGACAATGCGTTATTTTGGCGTTAAATGGGATGATTGCAATGATTTCTTAATCGAACTTGGAGGAACAAATGGTAAAACAGCTCATAAATGAGCGAATGTTTTTATATCTGAAGATTTTGATGAGTTTTGCAATGATAATAGAGGTGGAAAACGTGGTAATGACTTTTTTGACTGCTTTCCTGAGATTGAAATATCAGCGAAAACCTTCACTATAGAGCGATGCTCAAGAAAAGCAGCCGATTTCACAGCCAACGATCTCGCTCTATTTATTGATGAACAATATTATCTGGTCACACAAACGGTGAAAGATGCTGGTGCTCCTCTTGTTCGCTCACCAGCTTCCTGTCGAATAGATCTTCGTCGGTGGGGTGCGCGTTTTGAACAAAATGGAAACCGTCCTTATTTTGAGGGACATGAACGAGCCGACGTCATTCAACATCGCGACAAATTTATTGAAAATGACTACAACATCAAACTTGAAACTCAATGAACTACAAAAGTTATTAGTTGATCATCCTGCTTTTAGTACTGTAAGTTGCGTCTGCTGATATAATCTCTGATCGCTAAACTCAGAAAATTCTTTGCATTATTTTCCTTAGACTTCACGTCTCGAACAGTTGGGTGATCAATATAATATTAAAGTAATGTTTTGTCCAAAATTCCATTCAGAATTGAATGCCATAGAAGGCTTGTGGTGTAGTCAAAAACAGTTTGTTAGATCTCGTACGGATCAAACTTATGAAACAATGGGTCGTCTGATTGCCGAATCGCGTCTTAATTTCAAAGAGAAGCAACTGCAGATGAAACTCTTTCGTCGTTTTTGGCGTTGTCTCTCAGCATACAAGAGTGTTTGTCAGTGTGCTTTGCTCTCTATCTGGAGCTCTTTGGCTACAAAGGAAGGCAAATACTGTTCTTTTCTAGTCCTGCTGGAAATGGGATGGAAGAGAAGGATGAGCCTCCGACCATCAAAACTCTGAGGGGTAGAAAAGATACCCTTATCGCTGAAAATAAGCGTATGTGATCGAAAAAAAACGCTTAGAGTATGTTTGGCTGAGAGGTACCGTTGAGTATTAAAAACCAAATAACCCTCATGCGCATGAATATTTTCCTAAAACCCTCAAATTTTCCTTCGAAACCGTATGCTATCGTCTAAAAAGTGTATAATACGAAACGGCTTTTGAAACAAACGAAAAAAGCGTTCCTTTCCCTCTGATAAACGCTGGAAGGGTATATTATTGAATTCTAGAACCTTAGGAGTTTCTTTTGCGACCCTTTTTTTTACAGTACTCTTTCTGATTGAATGATGCTCATTTTTTAAGCTATCATACTGACAGGTGACATTTATTCTATAAAGGTTAGAGTATGACAATGCCTTTTACTCAAGAGATAATATTGCTTACTTTTGCTACTCCTCTGAGTGGTACGCAAATATAAAGTACTATAGTTTCGATCAACAGTTTGTCCTTTCTTCAATTCAACTTCATGTGAAACATAATATGTATAACAAACATATGCTAAGTAAGTATGTAACTGGAGATTATACCACATATTAAGAATGCAACGATACCAATGCGTTTTTCACCACTCTGTCATACTATCGTTACGGCGGCCTAGGGTAGGATAAAATATGCATAAAATCCAAGCCTTGATGTTGATATCGTTGTTAAATTGCAGTTATTTTGAAGCCTTTTTATCATTTTAATAAATTTTATAGGTACTCTCATTTTGGTATTAATATCTGTCATTGTTACATCGAAAAAGTTTGAAAAAACACATATCGTCACCGTAGCAACTTCGCCGAAAATTCAACAGTCGGGTAAACCTTAGTATAACGCTTCTTAGCCTCCCTCTATCTTGAGGACGAGGGTCATACAAATGAGAAAAACAACATTTTGTATATAAACAATGTATACAATCATTAATTTCAAATAGTAATCACTTTCGTTCGCTTAAACTTCTTTTTATATCACACTATCATCATAACAATCTAGGAAGACAGGGATGTGTCTGATAAAAAAAAGTAAATAAGATCTTTTATGATTATAGAAGATTGGATTATACTATCTGATTATTAGATTTGGACACAGTCTATTTAAAAAGAATACGTATAATTATTTCTATTTAGGATGGTCTGATACTGGTAGTATGCATAACGAACGACATGAATCGATATCAACCGTACTAACAAATGGTAAAGTTTTAATGATTGGTGGAGCCAATAACCGTGGTATTCTAAATAGTACTGAATTGTATGACCCATCGTCAGGAACGTGGACAATTGCTAATAGTATGAATGATGCACGATTTTTGCACGCCGTATCTGTGTTACTAGATGGAAGAGTGTTAGTTACTGGTGGAGTTAGTAGTGGTGCTGGTATTGCAAATACTGCTGAGGTGTATGATCCATCAACAGGAACTTGGACAAGAACTGGTAGCATGAATCATGGACGAGCGCAACACACATCATCCACACTACTAAATGGAAAAGTATTAGTTGTGGGTGGCGAAGGGATGACTCCTGATATAAATAGTACTGAATTATATGATCCAGCAACAGAAATTTGGACAACTACGGGTGATTTACATGTTTCACGATTGGGGCACACAGCATCCGTATTATTAAATGGAAAAATATTAATTACTGGTGGATTAAGACATTACAATGAAACGAATACTGCTGAATTATATGATCCGTCAACAGAAACTTGGACACTCATGGCTAATATGAGCCATGGACGATATTTTCACGCCGCAACTGTATTAACAAATGGACAAGTATTAGTTACGGGTGGTGATGATGCCGGTCCTCCAAACACTGCTGAATTATACGATCCATCAACAGAAACTTGGACAATGACTGGTAGAATGAATTATGAACGAGTATCACATACAGCATCATTATTAACAAATGGGAAAGTGTTAGTTACTGGTGGAGAGGATGCTCGTGTTGGTCCTCTAAATACCACTGAATTGTACGATCCATCAACAAACATGTGGACAACCGATAGTAGCATGCATTTTGGACGATTTTTTCACACAGCATCAGTATTAATTAATGGAAACGTATTAGTTACTAGTGGAGTCAGTGATAAGTATCATATTACAAATACCACCGAGTTCTACAATCCATCAACAGAAACCTTCACGCCTCTTGATAAAATGAAAAAGTACCATCTTCGTACAATCCATTTATACTAACAAGCAAAAAAGTGTTAGCCAATGGTCAAAATAATGGTACAGCTTTTCTTAACACAGAACTACATTAATCAATTTAAACAAATTAACACTCTAAATGACTATTGACTTTTGAGTCAATCCAGAGAAATGAACTCTATTTCCTATGAGCATAGTTTCTAATAAAGAACAAGAAAACATCACCAAAAAGAATGATGATAGTTCACTTTTAGTCTTCTATATGTTCTTGAGGCATTCTTTCGTTGTAATATGCGACGATTGAGTTTAGGACAGTTGCGCGCGGACGGTTGCTCGCCGGACACTTCGTCGCAAAACTGCTTTGATGTTGATTTATTCCCTAGACTGAAACGATAGTGTCTGTCAGAAGGTAATTATGCATTTTTTCCGTGTTTGGCTCGGCGACGCCTACACTGTAAAAAAAGGTCGATTAAAGAACGAAAAAAAGGTTAAGAGTTTGCAATCAATAATAAACCCTACTACCGTTCTTAAAATCGATACAACTCCTTCCAAATACGCTTGTTTATACTCTTTTTGCCTCATCTGAAACCATTTTTGTCAAGGCTTATGTCACCACTTTTCTGGCTTCTGAAACTCTTGAGATAACTCACTGTTTCCCACAGTCTCTTCAGCCCTCCATCAGGATCCATCTCACCCAGTGCCGAATAACTATTTGTCATTCCATTCCTAGCTTGCTAATTTTCATTTTTGCTTTCTTTGGGAAAAGCATGAGACGATTTAAGTTCACAACCAGCTTTATGATGCCACACCATTAGTAGCCGTTGCATCACCATGATTGTTGTTGCAACTGAACATTCATACTGTTCCTCCAGCTTGATATCCACCAAATGTATATATAATCCGATCTAGAAAACAAGAAAAAAATACACTGATATTGATCGGACGCTTTGAATTACATACGTCAACTACACAAAGTGTAAGTCGACAGCGGCTTGAGAATAAAAGAATAATTGCGAGTGTATCTCACATGACATTGGCATTCGTCATGTTGCTGGGCCATAGTATTCCAATCAATAGCCTAATTTCGCTAAAATATGAGGAAAAAGAATTCAATTATAATTGAGGAGCGCCTCATCTTACTATCTGAGCAGAGAGTGGAGTTACACTGGATTTCTTGTGTTTTATACAATGTTCAAGGTCTACGTTCGCGTGTGTCCGAGGTAGAAGAACTTATCGATTTCACCTTACCCATCGTTTGTGGTTTAGTTGAAACCGGTAATATTATTTCATGGTTAAATCGCTCTTCTTTTCCCCAGTATCGTACGTTTTTTACACCAGGTACCAACTCACACGGTGGATTGGTGCTCCTAGTGCATAATTCTGTTCGAGCGTCTATTTGTTTTTGCCAACCTAATTTATTAGCCATCGATATTTTACTTGGCTGTTGTTCGATTAAAGTAGCTGCTTGCTATTCCTCTCGATCGTCACCAATACCTATTGATTCTTTACGTTCAGTTTGTTCTTCAATACCTTTTGTTTTGATGGGCGATTTTAATGCATACTCCGAAACCTGGGGGTGCTCTTTAAACGACGGAAGAGGGCGAATTTTAGGAGAACTGCTTGATGAACTCAAACTATATGCGGCTATAACTGAAGCAACATCTAAACGATCATCTGAAGGTACAATAAATGTAATTGATTTAGTTATAACATCGGATCCCTCACCGAATGCAAGTGTTCTCCATAAAGGCACTAGCGATCACTGGCCCGTTTTTTATACCAGCAATTATTCAACTTCGTTTTCGTTTACTTTTAACGATGTTCGTTGGAATGTTTACTCGCTTTTCTTTCGTTTATTTACCCCTATCTTTTGCATCTTGCTTATCGCATTCCGGCAGACGATTTTGCAGAATTGTTTTCGTCATCATTAGGTTCATT